ATTTTACAAGGAATAAAATAAAATCTCAAAGAATGTGTGTACAAAATATCACATTCCTTGTTAAAAATTACATGTGGGTGTACTAGTGACAAGTAAAAAGTTCTTTTGATTTTAATAGTAAAAATTGACATGTTTCACAAAAATTTTACATAGTTATGACAGTAGACATGTTGATTGTGTGAAATCTTGTCTGACTGATAATAAAAAAGAATTAGATAACGGACCAAACTACTTAAGCATATTAATGTTATAAACTTGAGCAAATCTTTACCTGTAAAAATAATAAAGTTTCTACAAATCTAAACATGCAATCAGCATCCAAATATTGTGTTGGAATGTCTACTGATCTTAATAGAAAAAGGTGACTTATTTTGTCATCATCCCTAATGAGAACATATAAATGGAGTTTTTGCCCAGCAACCTGAATGCCAATTACACCAAACTCGTCACCATCTATCTTACACCCCCTATGTGCACAGTACAAGCCATTGTTAATTTCTATCCACAGCTTCACTTCATCATCGTCTTCTTTTTGTTTATCACAGACAAGGCGAGAACATTCGGCAAAAATTAATTCATAGATTCTTGCATCATGCTTTGCTATGAACATAATATCTGGGCATTTCCCCCTCTTCCCTCTTCAATCTTTGCTAGCAATGCCTTGGCATTCTGCCCTATATAAAGCATATTAATATAATAATAAGAACAATTCTTGATGATAAAAAATACTCACATGCTAATGAATGCAGATTTCCTGAATGGAAGTTTTTTTAGTGCAGCTCGAACTACAGGTACTATGATATCTGTCACATAGGTCCCCTCACTCTGTGACTTAGCAAACTTGGGCCTGAAAGCTGGATTCTTCCAAATTTCTCCTCTATAAAAGCAAGGTATCAATATATAAGAAAATTGTACCAAAGCTTATGTAAACTTAATACTACACTTACAAAACTTCAATAACTCCAGTTGTAATCTTTCCAAGTACCTCTTCTGACTCCATCCAATTTCCATGAAAAAGTTTACAAGATGATTCCTCAATAGCATCATTATTATCCCTTAAACTGTCCACATTTTCGAATAAGGGAATTTCGAAAATTTTATTGGTAAATTACAAAATTCCACCAATCAAAATTAACCAAATCGCACAATAAAAAATTTTATTATGAATATATCAATTTTTAAGGTAATGATCGACACGGGCATGGTAGACTTTTTACAGTTTTACAAAACCCATAATAATAATGGCCGAATTTCTATATATAGATCAATGTATAAAATCTCAAATATCTATGGCGTGCCAACCATGACAAAAGTCTACTACTACATTATTTGACATTTAAAATGAGGGTGGCTTTATTTTAAATATTTTTATCCCTGTTTTAAATGTCAAATAATGTAGACTTTTGTCATGGTTGGCGCACCATAAATATCATTTGTTAATTAGAAAGCATGATGATCAGAAAAATTTTTCTATATAAAAAAATTTAATCGTACAAATTTGTACAATAGCCAGTTTAAGGGATAATAACCAGTTAGTAAGTATTATATTGTATTATAAATCAACTTTTATAATTTTTATATCTAATTAATAAGTTTATTTTTATTTATTATAATAACCAGCTGGTAAATAGTATATTATAAATCAACACAAAAATAAATTTTATTAAAACATATCACCCAATAAATCTTTTTTTATAATAACCAGGGAGTAAGTATCATATTATAAAATTAACTTTTACAACACAAAATAAATTTTTATAACATCATCTAATAATGAAAATGAGATTGAGATTGAAGAAGAGGATTTTGACATGGATAGTCTGGTTAATGAGGTTATTGGTTGATAATATTAACATATATGTTTTGTATATTTTCATTATAACATTTAGAATATAATGAATGAAACATTTAAAAATATTTTATGATATAAATATTTTGTTAATTGTAAATATAATATAAATATATTAGAACTACTAAATTTTTTTTTCTTTTGAACTAAACAATTATATAAAATAATCTAGACTTTTGTTCAAAGGGCAAAATCATGATAAATACCCTTTTTTTTTTCATATGGTAATTAATTATATTATAATATGTAAATCATATCCCCCCTTCTCAAATAAATAAAATAATAAATATTTTTGCAGCTATGTGATTCATTTGATACTTATTCATCATAATGATAATTGAGACAGTTGCAAACATTGCAGAAAAGGTTGCAACTCAAGCTTTAAAATCTGCAGTTGCAGAAAATGTGAAAACAGTTGCAGACACCAACTTTACCTGAGATTTATTGATCAACTGAAGCAGATAAACAAATAAATATATAAAGATAATTATTGTTATTTCTAAAAAAACAATTGAAGAAAATTGTTGATACTAAAGCATTAAAACAGATTTCTTTGTCTTAGAATTAATGCACAATGTAATCTTCTGAGATTAATAAAATCTAATTGAAAATGTACTAAAAAAAATAAACAAATGTTTGGAATTTTTTTTTTTTTTATCAAAAAAGAAATTTTAAAATATATAAATATGATAGATTTTGGACTGAGTTTGATGTATCAAAAAAAATAATTATTATAAATAAAAAAAACATTAATTCAACTAAACCTTTTTTAAAAAAAGCCATCTAAACTGACTATCACTTGTGTGATTGATTCAATCATTAACACTAAGAAACAAACAATTTCAGAATTATTGAAATTAATGCCATTACAAAGGTGAAATAAAATAATAAATATTTAATATAATTAATTATATAGATAATACTTAGCTTTTGTGTTGTTATCTAATCCTTTCCTCATATATGAATTCCTTTGTCCTCACATCCATCACAATGATTGTTCAATACATTTGATATCATCATTGACATAACAAACAATTGCATCACCCAAGTAATAAATAATACCAAGGCCATGCATAAATGAAACTTTTAATAATGCATGTCTCCAGAGTTCACAAGAATAAATAAATAGAGAGGATCAAAAAAATATTTTCCTTCCCATTGTATAGTTCCTTAAATGAATAATAAATCTGATGTTGACCACAGGTGTCAGATTTAATAAAACTTTCCTATAACAAACATGCAGGGCAGTGCAATTAAGCACATTTCAGCACCATGGAACTTTTTTTCCACAGGTGAAAGCAACCTGAACATGCTGGAAGGCTTTTATAAGGTTGGCAAAAACTTCCCTAATCTTCCCCTCAGACCAGGCTGGCTGTTTCCATATGAGCATTGATCATTGATGAAGATCAGCATTTGTGTGTTATACCTCTCTAGAATAAAGTTGGTATCTGCAACTCAGGAGGTTGCAACCTGGGTTGTTGCTGTTTTGGATTTTCCCTGAATTCTGAGTTTTGAGTCCTGGGTTGCTGCCTTGTCAGTGGCACATCTACTCACCAACAACCCTACCCCCATTTAAAAAATAACAAATTCAGTTGGTCAAATAAAAATTAGAGAAACAGAAAATTTATGGGAATGATTAATTTATAAATAACATACCAAACAAAATCTGAAACATTTTATAACATTTTTCTTGTTGACCATATTGCTGACAAAAATATATATAATCATGTGATAATTTTAATCTATAGGACAGGGGACTGATCAGGCAAAAACCCCACCCAAAATTATAAATTGGTTAGTATCAAAGAAACAGAGAATTTAGGAAAATAATTATACAAAACAAACACTATTTTACAACTTTCCTCTTAACATCAGAGCCCAAAATGCAATTTCAGGGTCACCAGCCCCACTCTGAATTGAAAATTCCTGTGCTTGAAACGAGTTGCAGATTTTCTTGATATTCCTCCAGAGTTGCGACTTGGACACGGAGCCATCCTTAGAGGTAGGATCGTTGCAGGCAACTTTTTGGCCAGCGTGCCAGCAGCCTTCTCTGGTCAGGGAAGATTAGTGAAAGTGTCATTGATGATTGATGCAGTCTCGGTAAACTCCAGGGCCATGCCACCCCCCCCTGGAATTCGGTTGCATCATCATATCATTGGGCGTCGCAGGTTGGTTTAGCCTTATGTATATGAAGAATGTGTGTGAATGACTGTAAGTGTTCAAGGTAGCATGCGTGCTTCAACACTTGTAAAATTTCCGATAATCAAACATTGCATATCAGATTGTTTCTTTTTCAACAGTCAATGCTGCCTTGACATCTTGTGATTATAATAATAATAATAGTATTAATATTATTAACGATTACGCAAAGCAAAATATTATCAATGAAAATCTTGTAATCACCCAGCAAGATCTGCTCCGCGTTTTGATTCCAATTAAAATATTTATAAGCTAAAATAAAAGACACCTCATACATATCAATACAAGTAAAAAAAAGTAGTACCTCTGGTTAGTTATTAACACGTTTTCTTTAGGAGACCCAAACCAAACAACATCACTCGCGTTTTGTCACCTTGGACTCTGTCAAAAAATAAATTGATTTTCTTAAAAAAAAAAAACCACAGGGGGTCCATACATAAATAATTAGACGCGTTGTCGATCGATCAACAAATTATAAAAAAAAACATGCCAAAATCAGAAGTAGTAAAAAACAGAAAAAGAAGTCACTCAAAAAATGCTGCAGAAGCAGCCGTTGGGTAAGTGTTTTAAGGATGGTGGTGGTGGTTATCGCCACCACTCATCGTTACTATAGTTAAATTGTTAAAAATGGATGTGGTTTAATCATTACAACACTTGTTTTAAAAAAAAATGGTTATTGTCAATTGTCATTATCTTAATCAATTATTATAAACTATTTTTATTTAATTACCAGTGATAACAAGAAAAATATTGGGAAAGCAGTTCTAGAATCTGTCCGAAATTCAAACATTAAGAAGCCACGAGATAACGAAAATTTTGAATTCTATATCAAGAATTTCACCTTTTTGGGTGAATACTTCAACGTCAAACTGGAGTGAGGAAGCTTATTTCATTTCGGCAGGCTTTCAAGATCTTAAAACAGCTCAACAAAGTCTGTTGATTCAATACAATTTAATGAAGAATTTTTTCAGTGGTATTTCTTGTCCTGAATACGATCTTGTCCAAGAAAGGTTAAATAATTGGAAGGTAAAATTTTCGTCTATTCCTCCATTCCAAATAGAACATTTAACTAACATTGTAATCGTTTCATCAGAAGAACTCAAAAGAAAGGAAAAAAACTTGGGAAAATGCAAAAGAAAATATAGAAATACGTAACCAACAGCTGAAATTAAATCTACTTAAAGTAGCCACTTGTCATATTATGTTTTATGTTTTTCATTAAAAACAATATCTTTTTTTATAGGCAAACAAACAAGTGCCTGAGCATCAAGGTCAAGTGGATGAAAGTGAATTAATAATCCAAAGGAGAAATCAACAAGTCAATTGTAAGATTGATGATGTCAATTATATTGATGATATTATTGATGGTATCAATAATGATGAAAACATAGATGTATCGACAAATCAAGCATGTATGTATCACTTTAATATTAATTAATTTTTTAATTCTGGATTAACCTGACATTTGTTTATTATGAAGCACCATCAATCATATCAATAGCTGCAGTGGACAAGGCTGACAGAACTATTTTATTATCAACTGGTAGAGATGTTATTACAGTTTTCCGAATGTGGGCTGTACCCAAGTATTTTTTTAATGCAATATATTATACGAGTTTCCCTTGCATTTTCAATCTGTGCTAATCATAGTTTAATTGTAACAGCAACATGGAATTTATCCTTGATCCCAATGATCGACAGATGGCAAGAGTTTTTACCCCCACGGAGTTGGAAGAACTTAGAAACATGGCAAAATGCCACATTAACTTGGCAATTGATAAAGATTTGTGGGACTTTGTTGAGTCATTTCGTATTGTATGTTTCTTTGACAAAAAAAATCCTGACATAATGTTCCATTACTAACATAAAAGCAATTCAGCATAATGTATGTAAATATGTGCGTCGTCCAACCATAAGAGAATACAAGAATTATTGTGCATCAAAAGAACTCAATCTTGATCCTGATATTGATGAACAATATCATCACAAAATTTATGTTGTGAATGCCATTCAAGCATTGTAAGTAATTTTAATGAATTGTTAATTTTAGAGATTAATTGGCTAATTAATATTCATTATATATTCTCTGTAGTATAAGGCGGGTAGATATATATGGTCGAAACCATATAATCCTAAGTACAAGTGAAGATTGGTGGTCAGCGAATATTAATAACCCCTTGATCGAATTCTGTTATTTTGATCAGGGGTTAGTAGAGAGGTACTTTGTTTTTTTTTCTCCCTGTTATTCAAATTCTAACCTATTGTCCTGTCTGTAGAAATGTTGTTCAGTCCATTCCATCACGTGATCGCCGTAATAGAGAGAATTTAATGAAAGTAAGAGTCCAATCAGGGAACAAACCTGATTTTCATTTAGTAGAATCACCACAGCTAATGTGTGGAGAGATAAAAAAAGATGATGATCTTGTAACAGATCAACAAAATACCGGAAAACTATTGCAAGAACTTTCAGATGAATTAGAATTTGCTTTTGGTAGTCTACCAAAAGATCAACAGCAAATTATCATGGAGATTGAAGCAACAGGATACAAGATTCAAAGTAAGTAAACTTGTAATGCTTGTATTATGTAACTATGTGATCATATTCCTCATTCCTTTGTTTTGCCTAGAAAAACGTGTTGGAATTTATGTAATGCGTGTTTTAGGGAGTGGTGTTTATCTTGGAAATGAGATTGATAGTTTTGAGATACCAACAATCTTACAGGATATTGACAAGTTGATAGATGGGATCCAAAAAGTGCTCACAAGTAAAGTAAGAACACATTCCATTTTCACAATTATACTTTTCTGTAAGGGTTATAAATTTACAGTAATGCATTAATTATTTGAATAACAGGTACGGTTTGAAGAATCTGTCAAGCGTATTGAAATTGGCAAGAAAGCTGTTGGTTCCTCTTTTCCAAGGTTAGCATCAAATTTATCAGTATCCAATTTACCTGGAAAATTCATCAGAGCCACTAATCACACACCCAAAAGAGCCTGAGTAGCAAATTTGACAAAAATAAAGATGAGTTATTTAAAAAAAACAGTATTTATAGTGATACACTTAAATTACTCAACACAATGATTTTTGCATGATGGAAAAAAATTGCACTAACGAAGAATCAGAATCTAATAATAAAACTTCAAGTCAAAATCAGAATTAAAAATTAAAATATTAAATTGTATGTAGATATCGAATTTATCATTCTTGTTCCCGCATTTATTTGCATATATATTAATCAATATCCACCATCATCCATCAATTTACGCAAAATTTTGTGTATCTTTATAATAATAATTGAGAAAAAAAAAAAATATTCATCCACCAAAGCATCATCTTTTTGTTTACGAAATTAAAGAAAGAAGGATACTATTTTGACAACATAAAATATACTAAGTTGAATGGTAAAGAAGAAACATGAATATCAATCACAATAAATACCAATGAAAATGAAATAATTTCAAAGTCTTTATTTCCTTCCTCTTTTTTTTTAACACTTTACCAATCAAATGACATGTTGCAAGGTAGATGGTACTAACCTTCTTGAGTTTTGGCTGAATTGTGTTTTTATGTTGCAGTATAATCATGTATTTTTCCGCAAATTTGCGGTTCCCATGGGTTAAAATCTTTCTCTTGGTTAGCTACTGTTTTTGGGGTGATCACCATAATAATATCTGTAGAATTTGCAAATACGTATTTTTATTTCTTATTGTTCCTAGAACTTTATGAAATATTAATAACATCATTAATGTTAACATTAACATTAGATATTTGCAATTTTGCAATTCATTAAAATATTGATACTGATTCTTCAGTAAAAAAATTTTTATAGCAGTTTATATTTTCTTCATCCGCAAAATCTTGATAAATGATAAAACGACAATAAATTTATTCCATTTTTGGAATAATCTCTATCCTATGTAATTTTTAGCAATTATAAATTGTTTAAATTCATCAGTAAAACAAATAAACGACTTTGTTAAAATTATTTCTTTTAAGAACTTAGCATTTCGTTTTTATTGGTTTGTGTTGGTTCATATGGATAAGGATTTATTTTAAAATATAAAAAAGAATTAGTCTGGTATTAGTGAAACAAAATCGATCAAAGAATTGTTGGATTGATTTCTTTTGTCAACATATTTAAGACAATTCTTTCCCTTATGTTCACGAAAATAATTAAATTTTTTTAAAAAAAAATCCAACTTATGTTTTCCAATTAATTACATTTATAAAATTAATTCCTTTTTAACAAAAATGAATCAACAAAAAGCTCTTGCTACATTATAAAATATGTAATGGCATAGATATACCAAGATTTAATAATACTATTGATGCAATCAACTTGTGGATTGATCTGGAAGAAATTAAAAGAAAAAAAAATTTTAAGAAAATTAATTATTTATTATATTAATCAATTTTTACAGTTTTAATTGCTATACATAATAAGAATTGTCCAAGACCAGAACGTTTATTAAATATTGACACAAAAAACAATTATTTGTTTGAGCGAACAGGTAACAAAAATTTAACCCATGCAATTGTTGATTGACCAATCAAAATTGTGAATTTGATAACGTAAAAATAAATAAATGTTGGTTTGTCAACAATTACTTCACCAACAGTTGTTTCGTTAACAAATGGTTCGAATTTAAGAAATTGGAAGCAACCATGCGGACAAACCTTTGAATAGTCTAACAAATTAAATTGTACCATTCGAAAATGTATTTAAAGGGTTGGTTTTCGACTTGGTTGAAGAATAACTCTTCTCTTGACCATATCTCTCAATATAACCAAAATAACCTTGATATAACGGATGTCAACATTTAAGATATACGATTAAGACAAAACATGAACGATGTATGAAAAAATCAAACAAATTTATTTAATAAAAACAAAATTACAACCCAAAAAATTTTTTTTGCATGTCCTAATAAAATTTTCCATTGTTGCTGCATCATTTATTGCTGATTCAACATTACCATCATCATTAACTGTATTTTTGATATTTTCAATAAACTCATTTTCGTTTAAATCTTTTCGTCATACTTACTTTTAGTTCACGCTTTCATTTATGTTTCTTCCTTCTTGCATTATTGGCATTTGTTCTTCCATCAAAGGTCCTATTATCCTTTCGGTATCCATTTCTTCCTTTTGTTCGGGTGGCTATGGTGTTAATGCTTCCTTTCGTCTTTATCCATGTTTTCAAGGTAAAGTTATTCTTATCATGTATCCCGCCTGTTTCTTTTATGTTTGCCCTTTTATCAGGTTGTTGACCACAATGCTCTATCCAAGTAGTATGAAGATTATCTCGAAGATTGTGGTCCTGTCTTCGTCGCCAAAATGTGAGATCAAAATCCGCGTCTCACACAAATCTCTTGATTTGGTTAAAGTAATATTTATTTCGTTTATAAGGTAGTTTCCCGTGATCTATAGTTTACTATTTACAATATATAATTAATTCATTAAAATGTTATCCTACTTGCAGCAAAAAACTTATTTTAATTTTGGCATAAAAAAAAAAGATCCCACAAACGAATATAATTATAAAACATCTTGAATTCTAAATAACCAAATTTTCTCATTTAGCTGAAACACCACCTCGCCAGAGACTGTTTCATTAGTTTTTGTGGCAATTTTTACCAATCTGATCATGAATAGAATCGATGACGATAAAAAAATTTGCAGGTAATAAAATAATAAAATATTACATTGATTGTTGTCGTTTGGCGCTAGTATTTATAACAATAAAGTAGATTTACAATCAACATACACACACAAGAAATCAGATCAAATGCAGCTACGATCAACCAAATTTGATTAGCTTTAATTATGCAAACACTTTATTCTACCACTTTGGTATTATTAATTTATTGTGATTTACCAAATTGAGTTAATATTAAACCCAATATTCAAGTTTTTATCATATGCATACGTGCAAACACATGCACAAATGAGCAAAAAAAACGAAAAATTCGAAAAACAGTGTTTTGGTTTTTTTTGATTTTTTTAAAAATTACAAATATAATTTATTCATTGAACAAAAAAATAATCAAGAGTACACTGACAAGACTGGTTTTCATGCAAGATATAAAAAAGACGTTTTTACTAATTGGTTAACAATCTAAACAATCAATTATTTGCAATTAAAAACTTGCTACGGTAATCTATTAATAATCTAAACCATCTATCTGCATTGGTAAAAATGTTACACCAAAAAAAATTAAAAATGACGGTTTTGCTTTATAATATATTAATTCCCATAATTCATAATTCATATAAAAATTGTCTTAATAAAAAAGCTTATTCTATATCTAAAATAGTCATACTACTTGTTGAACTTTTATCAGCAAAAAATTTACCAAAATCAGATGTTGCTTTAATTATGATAATCAAAGGCCGTATTTTCTCTCTGAAATTTTCAAACAAACAAATAATAATGATAAAAATTAAATACTGAATTTTCTTAGTTCTAAACTAAACAAATTCTACAAAAATTTGTACAATTTTAGTTTACACTTTATATATTAAAAAAAAGTAATAGGCATTTATTTAATTGAATCATAAAGGAAATTTTCAATAATATTCAATTCGATTTGATATACAAAGAATCAGAGGAACCAAAAAATTCAGATTTTTTTTGATTTTTTAAATCAAATGCCTAACAAAAGTAAAAAATTTGTTCCCAAAAAATTATTTTACCCTAATGATAATTCCATTATCATTGTCTATGTCATTGTCATTGTCATATCCTTGTCCTTGTCCTTGTCCATGTCATATTCATATTCTTAAGAAATCAGTTCATTCCTGTGAAACTCTGATTTACTTTGGGACATTCTTCAGTTAGACTGGTTTTATTGTTTTTTTTGCTATTTATTTTAATTGACGATCCGTGAATGAATGAGAGAATTTTTGTGATCGGTGGGGCAAAAATGTAAAAAAATCACCAATCAATAATGTTTAACAAACAATAAAGCACAACGTTTCTGT